AATTGGGTGCCCTTGCTGCTGTAATACGACCCCGATACCTATGCCGGAGGCATCGCACTCGACTGTAAATTCGAGGGCGAAATTTGGTAATTGCAAGACGGGTGGAAGACAGGGCATTTCTCAGTGTCAGAAAAGCTACATCGGCTGCGTCGTCCCACCGGAAGGAATTTTTCTTTAACAGGTTGGTTAACGGGGCAGCCAACAATCCATAGTTCTGGACAAATTTGCGGTAGTAACCCGTTAACCCGAGGAACCCGCGTAAGGCCTTGGCTGATTGAGGCTTGGGACTTCCAAGACACCATTTTTCTTTGGAATGAGGCAAATAAAAGTAGAATTAATTCATTTATTTACAACCCTGTGGAGTGGAAGTCTTTAAAGACCTCCAAAAGATCCACTCTTACAACTTCCCAACAGATTTGAAAGAAGAAGATTGGGAAACCATTGGGCCCAGGGGCTCTATCTCCGTCCATATTGAAGACTGCTTCTCTTTTTTCTTGCTCCTCAAATTCCCTTTCAAGCCAAATTCTCTTATCTTCTGCTAGAGTCGGCCCTTCCCAACTTCTTCATTTAAACTTCCTAGCACTTTTCCTAGAGTAAAGAGTTTTGAAGTGGTTTAGAAATGCCTCAGTGATTTCTTCTGCATCTTCCACCTCCCTCCGGCCCACCTTAATTTTTGAGATGAGATTCTTTCTGCGCCTACCCGACGCATAGCTATGGAAGAATTTTGAGTTGTTATCTCCTTCATTTAACCATCTGACCCTTGATCTGTGCCTCCAAAAGATTTCTTCTTTTCTGATTACCTTTTCCCAAGAACTCCTTAAACCATCTCTCCTACTTCTTTCTTCCTTCTCTGTCCAGAACTCCTAAATTGCTCCTTTTTATCTAAATCTTCCAGCTCCATGAGGATGTCATTTTTTTCCTCTGCGAACGATTTGAACTCTTCTCTCCCCTAGGATCTCAATTTTCTTTTCAGGAATTTCAGCTTTTGCAACAGTCTGTACCCAGCCCAGCCTTCGACTCTGCATTCCTTCCACTATAAAGCTACATTTTTGTGGAAATCTTTGTGAAGAGTCCACATTTTCTCCAGTCTAAATGGGGGTTTACCTTTCAAGACCAGGTCTGTTCTCAGGACTAAAGGCCAGTGGTCTGAAGTGCAGCGATGTCTGATTTCTTGGAGAAGATTTGGGAACTTTTCTGCCCAATCTGAAGATACCATAAACCTATCTAGTCTGTAGCTTGTTGGGTTCTCTTGTAGGTTTGACCAAGTGAATTGGCCATTATGGAGAGGAAGGTCACAAAGATTGTCTCGAGATAAAACTGGAGAATTCCCTCATGCTCCTGGTTGCTGTTCTTCTGTCAGAGTTTTCTTGAGAGAACCTTGTTACATTAAAGTTGCCTCCTAAAACCCAAGGGATTTCATCAAACTCATGTAGGGCATCCAATTCTTCCCAAAGTCTTTGCTTGTCTTGAAGGAGCATTGGGTCCGTATACTCCAGTTAAAGTCCAGCTGAAACCATCAATCTTATTGGTAAAAAGAACAGAGATTGAGAATTCTCCTCTATCTATTTCAATACCCAAAACCTCCTCTTCATTCCAAGCTAGGCTAATTCCCCCTAAAGTGCCTGAAGCAAGAAGTAAAACCCATTTCTTTCCACGAATTCCCCAAGTTGCTCTCAGAAGCTTCCTGTCCACTTCTTTTTTGTTTCTTGGAGGATGACTATGTCTGGTTTTTCTCTTCTCAGAGTTTCTTTTACCAAACTTCTTTATAGTTGGCCTCCCAACCCTCTAACGTTCCAACTTAATAATTTCATTAACCTCCGAATGCTGATTTTCCCTTGTCCGCCCTAGACCTTGTTGTTTTTTGATCTATCAATCCCCATTGAAGTCTCCTTAGCTCCCTTTTAGAGCTCTTCTTGCCACTTTTCACAAACTCGACCTTCTGGATTCCTTCTTCCCCCTTTTTTGGAGCCTGATTGAGTGAAGATCCCTTCTCTTTACTTATCCCCAATTTTCTAGCCGTCTCAGTAACTTCTCTTTCTAGATTAGCACCCCTTCTGTGTCAATCCGAACTATGATGCCCTTCGTCAGATTTTTCTTGGCAGCTTGGGTTAATGCTTGGTTGGGATAGATCTCCATTCAAACCCGAAAGACAGAGGGGAAGTAAGGTGAGATCCAAGATTAGAAGAAGACAGAGAAAAGGTTACAGGCAAAGGAGAGGAGGGGGAAGGGGAAACTCTGGTGGATTTACAGTCTATTTCATACTCTTACTAGGCTTGTTGGCTCACAGTCTATTCCATACTCAGGATTTACAAGAAGTGTTTGTTCAATTAAATCCACACTTCCCCATGCTTCCTTTCCAGAGAAAAGATCTTTTGCCCTTGAGAAAGCCACCTCCCTGGGGTCTGGTTCGATCTCTGTCGCATAAGAGCTTGAATCTTCAGCTGTTTCAGTGTCGTTTGCCTTGAAGAGAGAGGATGAGCTTGAACTGTCTGGTGATGAAGGAGGCCTGTAAATTTTCCTGTTGTGTCTTCCCGAGCTTGGAAGAGTTTCGGGCGTTGGCTCGGTTAGGGAATTTGGGGTCTCAGGTGGATTTGGGCCATGGGGGACTTCTTTCGAGTCTGTCGGGTGGGCTTTAGAAAGGTTTCGGCCCAAGTCTTGAAACTGTATTGGGTCCCTTAACTTGTGAGAACTGTTGGAGGGGAGGCCCATTTTCTAAAGATATTTTGAAAATTGAAAGGGGTTGTTGAGAGTAGCTTGGCCTGCCTTACTTTTTCGGCTCCTCTTTTGGGTAACAGTTTAAGCTTCTCCAAATGGTCTTTCACTGATGATTTCCTTCCTTCAGGTTTACAAAAGCTTCCAGAAGTAGCTCTTGAACCTGCAGGAGCTTCAGGTCCTATTTTGGGAAGAGGAAGATGAATTGACTCGGTGGGTTGAGAGGGAGACTCGTTCGTCTTCTCCACTTCAACAGATAGGTAGAACTAGACGTTTCGCTCATTATTATTTTACATGCATCTTGTCCTTACATGAGATTCACCATCCACAATCAGGTTGTTAAAATTTAGGAACTTTGCCAACTTCAAACCCAGGTGTAATGTCAGAATCTTAGCCTTTAAAGAGTCCCCTCAACTTGTGGGTCCTGAGTATAAAGCCAATGCTTTACCATTGCCATTCCTGATTACTCCACCTATGCCCAGACATTCCTGGATTTTTCCATGACAGTCCTATCAAAATTAAGCTTTACTGGGTTTCCACTAGGAACTACCCGGGGAGAAGCACTTGCTGCCCTTGTGGTAGAGCAGTTTGCTACATTGGGCCAGAAAATGGACAGAACAAAGGTGAAGTTTTGACCCAATGATAAATTCTAATTAAGATATTCTTGGTTACCACTTCTTTTGAGTGGGAAACCTCCTTGAAGATCTTACAATTCCTTTCTTCCCAAACTGACCAAAGAATAACCCCTCTAACACAACTCAGTATTACCTTCCCTCTGCTTAACCAATTGCATTTGAATTCATTATCTCAATTAAAAAAATTCAAATTTCACATGTATATCTCAATATACCAAAATTCGATGGTCTAGAATGTGAAATTAGTCAAAATCATTATTAGGGTTTGTACACCCCAAAATGAGCTGTAAAGACAACACAAAAAACCAAGGAACCATTTGATAACAGCTCAAATGATTGAACTGAATAACTTACTGCTTTGTCTTTCAATGAATAAGTTTTCAAGGAGGTTGTGAGATCCTTAATAGCTGAAGCCGAAATCAGGTTAATTAGAATACCATTGTATATTTTATTATTTAAATATCTTATCCATTAATAGCCAAAGCAATAGGTCATTCAATTCAGCCACCTGAGTTATTATCAAGGAGTCCCCAAGTCTTGTCCCAACTATATGAGGTTGGCTACAATCTACATGAACCTTGTTTCATAATTCTGCTCTGTTAAGTGCTACATCCATTGTTAAATTATGGGTCCTCAATTCATTACTTCAATCCATGTCCTTTTCAGTCTGCCCCTAGCTCTTCAGCTTGTAACAGATCAATTTTTTCCTCACTGGTACTGTAGACAATCTTCTTTGCATGTGACTAAACCATCTTACGTCTACATTCCCCCATTTTATTACCAACTGGATCTGCTTCTATGTTCCGTTGGATAACTCCATTTCTGATCCATATCCTTTAGTTTTCCCACCCATCTATATAGAATATTTGCATTTCAGCTGAACTCATTTTTTAGACATGTTTCCCAGTGAACCAATTAAACTGGTCAGGCCATTTTAGGTTTTAAATCATTGTATGGATTCTTGAGACTAGGTTTCACAACAAATACTAGGGAAAAATGATTCAGAATAATAACCATTTTTTTTTTAAATTCCATTGACACTGACAAGAAAAAATATAGCATTCAAAAACCAGTCTGACCTGAGGCTGAAATGGCAACAAGAGCCTTCAGAGCTTCCTTGCATGTGCGGTCATCTTTGGCAGCCACCAGCATATTTAGAAGATCTTGACCTCCACCCATCTCCACTATTTTCATCCTTCTTTCATCTATGAATCAAAGTAAAGAGACAAAAAGTATATAACCTGAACTAGTTATTCAATACTTCAAGTATCAACAACCTCAGCTAGTCAACTATTTATATTTGTGAACCAATTTGCCAATTTTTGATGTTGGGAAACAGGACACTAAACTGTTCCCAAAGATGAAGCATTGGAGGTGAAGATGAAAGAAGCATTTAAAAGATAATATCAAATCATGTCATCTTCTAAATATAATATAAATCCACCAAAATGTTCATTAAACTAGAAGGGTACAGTGGAAAAGGCTTCAAGAAACATAAAAACCAAAAACAACACCAAAACTATAAAAGGTTTGGGACAGTTTAAAGCAAATACCCATAATCCACTACCACATCACCCATATATGGAAAGGACATGATTGGATATGGTGTCAGATATGAAATTGACACTAAAAATTGAAATATCCAACATGATACAGAACCCTTATGAAGGTATCCAGGCATTATAGGTCCACTTAGAATCCAAGTGATTCGTAAGATACTAGGTTTCTAGAGAAACAAAAGAATCCATTCAGGAAAATGAAGCAACATACATAAAGAAATTTCTAGAAAGCAAATACGAGTATGTTGCCCGGATATGACAAGGACATGGCTCAAACTCAATACAGCATTATCTAAAAAGTTTACACTGAAAATTGAAGTATCCATGAGGCAACCTTCTACATGTGTCTAGGTATTATAGAAATGTGACAGCCAATGGTAGGTTCCTCCCTGATGCTGGAAATTGATTTTTTTACAGTAAGATTAAATAAATTAAAATGAAAAGGAGAACAAGTACAAATGTGAGTTTTTTTTTTTTTTGTGGTGAAAGATGTAATGTTGTATTATAAACATTAAAGAGCAGTACAAACACAATTGTACCTTAAGTAATTTAGCAGCCAGAGTCTAGTGCTTTTTCCTGCCTTAGGGAGGAGTGTCTCCCACTACATTCTTCTAGAGAATATTGAGCTGGCATATTTGGTTACACTATAAGATACCCCATTACAGATCCAAGGTATATACTATCACTTAAGTACTATATACACCCACTGCATCTAACCCCGTTCCCCCCCCCCCCCCAATATTATTTGATTGAACTGCTTGTGTTGGGAAATTCTCTTCAAATGTATTGATGCTTATTAAGTTTCCACTTCTCATTAAAATACATTTCATTAAGTTATCCTTTCAGAATGAAGTTCAGAAGACCAATAAAGAATTTTATTCACAATAACTGTGTAATTAGCAGTACAGAATTCATCAAATGTGGTGGTGCATAACACTTTGCCACTGTCTATTATCTAAAAATATATAAGATATGGTTGAAAGTACCATCAATTGCAAAACGGGATAATCTAGATGCTCCCATTCTTTTAAACAAGGGATCCTTCACTTGCAAGAGTGACACAGACTGTTGCAACAAATTATCTCCTGAAAATCAATTGTATAAGGATGGTTAATTTCGTCCCATCATACTATCTGATTTTAACAACTTGGACAAGTTAATAATTGCTCATGAAAACCAGCCAAAGTTGCATACCCATGTAAGGAAAAAACTGATAAGCAACCATTGTTGCAGTCCCAGCAAATAACAGTTTAAAAAACCATCCTATTTTTCTTTCAGCTTCCTCCTCCATCGATAGCTCATCTGGAAACCAAATTGAGCAACAAGTCTTCACCAATGGTTTTGAACATGTAGTGCAGATAATAAGATAATATATGGTAACATTTTCTCTACCCTGTAACCTACATAATTCTCTGAAGAAGGTGAAGAGTACTAAACTAGTAAAATCTGTTTTCATGATATCAGAAACATCTTTTTTTTATGAATAGAAATATCTTACTATGTTCAATTTATTTGCATGCAACAGTTCAGAAATATGTCAGTTATATTTATAATATAATGCCAATACTTGGGTTTCAGGAGGCTTCACCACAAAAGTTAGTTACAAAAACTGACCTTCCAGCTTTGAGCTTTTGTTAACTGCAATATATCATTTAAGTCCCCCTACCCATATGTACACAAATTCACATGTAGCAAATTGATTGCAGCTTGGTTTTGTCTGTGCATAAATGTTATCTTCTAGTAGCTCTTAAAATGTCACTTGAAGTTTAAATAAAGCAAAATATCAATGCAGTCAGATGTGTTGACCTAGCTGGGAGCCTAGGATCCCAATTCACTGCACTAGGGTTGGCAGTTTAAATCCCCTGATCAACAGCCAACCCTGAGAGGTTAAAGCACCTAGGTGCAGCATACATTCCTTCATTACTTTGAAATTTACCAATAGCCCAATTGAAATGAATTAAATTAAATTGCAAATGAGCAACACATTGAAATATAACAACCGACTATTTCAGTCCTGGTGTAATACATTTTTGTTATGTAATCAAATTTTGAATCCAATTCATATTCTCTTGCCGGACATTCTTTAATAACTATTCCTAAAATGTCACTGTACCTCCTTCCAGATGTTTTTGTTTGTCTATGTGTGCTGGAAAATGGGGAATTCGGAGGAGGGTGGATACTGATATCTAGTCTGGGTTGATAAATAAGCTAGTCCCTTGTATCTAACAATGGGCTTGTCAAAAAGAAAGGTATGCGACCCCAAGAGATCATGTAAGAACAAGACATTCCTTCACCAATTGAATGACAGGTCTTCTAGATATAACTTATAAAGTTATACAAAAGCATATAACGACATAATAAGAGCACATAAGATTGAGAGGACAAGTCTTTCCCAGTCTTTGAGAAGTAGGTCTGCCAGGATGGGAAGGGAATGGGGATTGGGGATGGCAAGTGTTATGAAAAGTGCATAATGTATTTAGGATAAAAATAGCTTGTTAATTGGAACCATGGTTTTAAGTTTTGCTTAGGTTTCTTGAGAATTTCATAATAATTTGGTTTCAGTATGCTAAATCAAAACATTAAATTGAATATTCAGTCAGTATCTCAACATAATTTTAAAAATTTCAGAATATCTTGGGGTCATGGTCATCATCATCATCTAATCCTTGTCCCAACAATATGCAGTCATAATATTTTGGGATAAATTTTAATGGAAATTTTGGAATAGTTTGAAACAACTAGGATTTCAGGCAGAAGATTTTCCATCTTAATGCTTTTAATGTTTTAGCGGTATTTATTTAAAAAATTAAAAGGGAAAATTCCCAATTAGTACCCTATACTTTGGCTCAAGTGACAATTTGGTCCCCGGACTTTAAAATGTGACAATTCAGTACCCAAACTTTCAAAATGTGACAATCCAGTACCTGCCGTTAACCAGTCCGTTAATCAGCTGTTAAATGACATTTGAAAAGTCAAAAATGCCCTTCGAATGCCATTTAATTCTCTTTATCAACCATCCAAACATTGGCAATAAAATGAACAGTCCCAAATTCTAGATTCTTCTAAACAGTCACCAATTTTTTTTGAATAGGAGAGGCTAGGATTTGGGACTGTTCAGTTTTTTGTCGACATTTGGATGGTTGATAAAGAGAATTAGATGGCATTCAAAGGGCATTTTTGACTTTTCAAATGTCACTTAACGGCTGATTAACGGACTGGTTAACGGCAGGTACTGGATTGTCACATTTTGAAAGTTCGGTTGTTTGGGTACTGGATTGTCGCACTTTTAAAGTTCGGGGACCAAATTGTCACTCGAGCCAAAGTACAGGGTACTGATTGGGCATTTTCCCAAATTAAAATAGTTAGGTGGTATCCCTTAACGGCTAATCCATTTCAATCTGAGGGACCAAAATAACTCAGAAAAACTGTAATTTGTGATAACACGAAATTGAATTCTAAGAGTTCTTTTTTACCCTTCAAGTCATTAGGTGCACATGTTATCCTCCGATGTGTTCATTAAAAGAATATTAGAAAGATTGTCTAGAAATGTATACCTAATCATAACAGTATGAATCCCTGATTCACTGTTTACCACATAATTACTCTATCCAAGGCTCCAAATGAACATGTTCTATAGACTATAAGCAGTTCCTAAGAGGCTAAGATATTAAACAAATTTTGCTGAAAGAGAGAGAAAATAAATCCATCAAACTAAAGTAAAAGAAAGCTTCAATAGAGGGGAAACGGAATACCTCTCCCATTGAATGATGAGAATTTGCGGGAATGTGGATGTCCAATATTTCTTCTGTACAAATACTGCAAAACACAGCAATCCAATTCAAATACAGAATTATAATTAAAAGAATTAATTATAAAATCCATAATGCTAATTTGCAAGCATTAATATCTAAACATTTATTCAACCCTGAATCCAGTCGACACCATGATAACAATTTTTTTTCAAGCACCAGATTAACAAGAAAGAAGAGCTCAGAAGAATGTTGACTGAAGCAATTTCGACTGATTCAAAAGCCTAGATACCGACAAGCTCTAAAAAGAAAACCTTTTTCTCCCTTTTGGCTTTGCAAAACAATAGTTGACAACTACGAGCATGGCAGAAGACAAAGAATGAGAAGAAGCACTTACTGTATAGAGTTGTCTTGTTAGTATACGCATTATCCAATCTACAAGAGAAAGACGATGGGAAATGGGAATTCAGATCAAGGTCAAAACATCAGATTCAGCAGAGTTCCTGGATTAAACAAGAAAAACTTTGACAACTAGCGTGGGATGACCTAAGGCTGCTGTCCTCAAGTAAAGAAAAAAGGGAGCTGATAGATTACAGATGCAACAAGAGAACATAAACTCCAATATGCGAGCGGTAGTAATTTACCTGTTTCGCGCGCTCCCTCCAAAAATCCAGGCGAGAAGATGCAAAGGAGAAAGCCAGAAAGGGGGACGGAGTATAGCCTTTCACTTCAGTTACCGGTTACCACATGAACGCGAACAGGATGCTTGACAGAATGATTCAGTGATTCTCAGGAGTTGTGTTGTGTGTCAATGGCACCCTGCGGACCCGGTCGGGCATAAGGTATTGGATCCAGACCCGGACACAAAACCTAGGCTTTAGGCCCTCTACATGATCATCCGTAGTGGGACAACACGGACAACCCATTCTATGAAATAAAGAAGATTATTGCAATATAAATGAATTAGTGATAAAATGGCATGTCATATTATTAAAGTTTTTAATGGTAAGTACACCTTATACATATAAGTATATAAAGTGTTAAAATTTTGATTTAGTAAGTGGATTTTCATTTAAAACCATCTAATCCATCTCATACCAAAAAAGAAAAAAAATCCAATTAAAATCTGCGTCCCAGTTATATATGTACCAATGTATTATAAAGTTTATAACTAATAAATTGAATATTCTATATTATATAAATTTATTGTGTAAGAAACCATTTAATTTTTTTCCTTCATTTTAGGAATGATAAGTCGGATTCGGACTCGATCCAAATCCATTCAAATCTGACACATTGAATTTCAGACCGGATTTGGGTCACGTTTCGGTTTTGCTAATCGATTCGGATTCGGATTTATCTGGATCAGACCCACCCGATTACAGCCCTAACCCGGTGCGTTTCGTGTGACGCGTCAGTTTATCCTGCATCTAGCACCAATACTGTTACACCAAGTCTATGAACTGACGCGTCATGGAAGGAGCCCTGTTGACAATCTAAGCCGTCGAACTTGGACAACAATTTTTTTTTCCTATTCAACCGAAGTCCTGGAGCCCTCGCTACCATGTTGTTTGGTTGTTTTATGGGATTGAGAAGAGGGAGACATGGACACAAAGGAGTGTACAGACTACAGACCCTTGCAAACTAATTCGTCGTTACTCGTTAGACAGGCGTCAGGGCCGCTGCCTCGCTGGCGAATATTCAATATTATGCCAAACTGACCCTTGCAAACTAACCAGTCACTGCCTGTCGGTTGGCTTCCCTAGTTCGTTAGAACTCCCACTATAAGTCATAACTCATACTACAATCCCGATAGAGGAGGCTAATAAAATGCTCCGAAGGACTCGTTTTTCATGGGTCAAAAGGATTAATTCTCTTGTAAATAATGGGCAAATTCGAAAAGGGCTGCTTCTGTTCCATCAACTCCAAAAGTCAGATGTTGGGATAACTGAGTACTTCCTCTCAGCTGTTCTCAAGTGCTGTGCAAAACTTGAAGCTGTAGACGTAGGCAGGCAAGTTCATTGTATAACGCTGAAGCATGGTTTCCATAGAGATGTGATTCTGATGACATCGCTCTTGGACATGTATGCCAAGTGCACGAGTATTGAAGAAGCACGCTGTATCTTTTATGAAATGCCTGAAAGAGATGTGATCACAACAAACAGCATGATTGCTTGCTTGTGCCGATTTAACATGACAATGGATGCAATCCAGTTGTTCGAAGACATGCCGAAGAGAGACGTGGGATCATGGAACTCTTTGATTTCAGGTATGGCACAGAACCTTGAGAGAGGGAAAGCTCTCTCTTTCTTCAGAAATATGCATCTAGAGGGAGTCAGAATGGATTTTGCAACCATGATTAGCATCCTTTCAGTTTGTGCCGATCTGGCAGCTTTGTCTAATGGTAAACAAATCCACGGCTTGGTAATTAAACATGGATTTGAATTGTATCTTCCAATTGGGAATGCTACTCTTGACATGTATGCAAAGGGTGGATGCATTGACGATGCATGTCTTTGTTTCAATAACATGTCATCCAGGAATGTAGTTACTTGGACTTCTCTCATAGTGGCTTATGGGAAACATGGCCTAGGGTTGCAGGCTCTTAATGCTTTTCATCAAATGGAAATGGAGGGTATTTTACCTAACAAAATCACTTTCCTTGGTATCCTGTTTGCATGTAGTCATGCAGGGCTAGTTGAAGAAGGATGGAGGAACTTCAATGCGATGATTCAAATGTACTCCATCACACCCATGATAGAGCATTACACATGCATGGTCGATCTTCTAGCACGGGCTGGTCACCTGGAAGAGGCTCATGAATTCATAGAGAAAATGCCAATTGAGCCAGATGCAAAGCTTCTGACAGCATTCCTCAGATCATGTTGCACCTACATGAATGTCGAGCTAACAAGGAAAGTTGGGCAGAAATTACTTGAGCTGAAGCCTGAAGGTGGAGCTTATATGTTGTTATCCAACTTTCATGGCCTGGTTGGAGATTTGGAAGGTGTAGCAAAGGTCAGGAAGCTGATGTTGAATAGAGGAATAAGGAAAGATAAGGCACATACATGGACTGAAATCAAGAGAACTATCCACACTTTTGAGTCCGGAGATAGATCCCACCCTCTGCATAAGAAGATCTGTGACTATTTGGAAGATCTGATCACAAGAATGAAAACAAAGGGCTATGTGCCTAACACGAGTATGGTGATGCAGAATGTGGATGAACACAAAAAAGAGGAGATACTTCTTGGTCACAGTGAGAAGCTGGCAATTGGACTTGGGCTAATCAGCACAGCTCCAGGGACACAGATCACAATAGTCAAGAACCTTAGAGTGTGTGCAGATTGCCATGAGGCAACTAGGTTTATTTCGATGATTGAAGGAAGGGAGATTGTGGCAAGGGATTCCAGTCGATTTCACCAATTCAAAGATGGGCAATGCTCTTGTGGTAACTACTGGTGAGAGTCACACATAATGATGACACATCATACAAATTTCGTATGCATGTAAATTTTAAAAGAGATTTCTAATAGAGGAAAAGTTGTGTACATCTGTCCCTCCCTGGACCCCGCATTGGCGGGAGCCTCATTCACTGGGCTGCCCTTTTACTTCTAATAGAGGCAAAGACACTTCTTGGCCAATGCAAGAAGTCTTCAACTGGACATGGCAGTTTTGGCTGTTAAAGGCTACTGGGTTTATTTTGAAATTTGAGGGGAGGGAATGGCAAGAAAGGATTCCTACCACTTTATCAATTTAAAAATAGCTGATGTTGATGCTTATTCTGTACAGGTTATGCATTTAATTCGTACATTTCAAATGAATATAAAGTATTAAATATACACCATATGCATAAATCATAGTAAATATGCATGAGATCACTGTACATAGCATTACAGGAATATCATGAACAGTCTCACTTCCTTCCACCCACTATACCTTGGCCAGACATGCCTGACAAGCTAGGAGAGGTGCTATTTGTCCTCTTAAACCCTCTATCTGCATTCCCAAGAACATTAAGATCCTCAAACAATCTGTAGGAGGGAATAAATGTTTTCTGCTCAGTTGCAGAGACCGAGTTCCTTTCGCTGGAGCTTAACTGTGCTTCTCTTTGAACAGGTGATCCATTGCTTCCTCTTGATGAGAATGAGTTATAGTGCTGGAAAGGCCTAGCCATCTGCAGGGGCGTGTGAGAAGAAGAAGCATTTGCTTGAGGAGTTGTAGACATATAAGATGCTGTAGTGGATAAAGGACTCTGATCTGAATATGCAGGGGCTGTTGCCCATGGGGGAGGAGGGTAGCTTGATGAGTACTCAGTAAATTGAGGTTGAGCTTGGGATTGAGGTTTAGGTTGGGCCCAGGGAACAATATAACTGTTGTAAGATACCGGCCCTTGGTTTCCAGGGTAAGTCTGGGGCCCATATGGGTACCCTTGTGTAGTAGGAGAGGCGGGTACCTGATGCATGTTATGGTTAGAGATTGATGGGGTTGTTAAAGGGGTATGGGGTGAGGTCAAGGGTTCTGACAAGGTTAAGCTCAGAAGGTCAATCATATCCTGCTCTTTTGTGGCCGTCCTAACCGGTGCAGGTGGGTTCAGCAATGACAAAGCACTACTCTTGTTGGGGATTGAGATTTCTGGTGTTGATGGGGCAGTAAAATTTGCCATGTCCATTGGGGCACAACTTTCACTCATACCAGCAGATTTGCTTTGAGAAGACAGGGGCGCAGTTTTGGAATGCCTGTATTTACAACAGTAAGATCTATCAACAACCAAATTAAACTAGATTTCTGTCAAGTTAACTGTTAAGAATCAAGTCAAAAAATAGATATAAGTAATGTAATCAAATATGGGCAATAGGGATACACTTACATGTCCCATTTAATTGACCTCAGGCCAAAATCTAGGTCACTCTATAATAAATTACTGTTGCCAGATTTTTCTATATTACCATTTTCTATACCATGAATGATATGGGCTTTTTATCACCAGTAAAATGATATGGATTCTTATCACCATAAGTGTATAGCATGGATCTCATTTAACATTGTTTAAAATATGATTTAAAAATGATAAAATATAAAAAAGAAAAAGAAAAAATAAAACTCTGCCCACTTCTTAAGTATGAGTTGATTTTCTTTTCTTTTCTTTTTTTTGTTGATGAATAGTATGAGTTGATTTTCTTCATTCTCCTATTTAAGATCAAGAGGGGGGAGGGGGGGTTCCCTTTGAACACTTCTCCTAACAGCTGAAACTAACTGAACATTTTTTATAGAATGGTAATATATGAAATGCCAGAGAGAGCATGCCAATCTATAGAATGCATGTCGCAGGCACATCACCATAAGTATTGAATTAAACAAATTAGAAGGTGTCAACAGGCTCGGTTGGTTAGGTCTTTGGCTGGTTGTAGCAGAGACTTGGGATCAAATAAAGCCTTCACTAGGGTTATGGGGCTATGGGTTTGGGGGATGGGCTACAACTGTTGTGTCAAAGAAGAAGAAAGAAAGAAAGAACTAAACAAATTTAACATTCTATACTACTATCTATCTATATCTATATTCTATACTACTATTAAAAGTACAAATGAGCTTGTGAAACTTTCTTCTTGATTAGAATACCCCTATCTTTGAGTTTGGTCCCTCTCTAATTGTGAGGGAAAAAAATATAATTTGAACCATTACTTTTCACCTTGTTCAATTCCCTATTTTATATTTAAGGTATTAACTCACTTTTTTTTTGAGAAAATTTAACCAGGATTCATCAAGGGAAGAATAGGTTCTTCCCCTGCTTTGTATTAACTCGCATTCTCTCTCATTAAATGATATATTTAAGGCTTTTCTCTCACCAATAAATTCTACTACTTAGATCTATGTCCAATGCTTTTTCTTACCAAAAAAATGGGTCAACCCATGATGTCATAGTTAAATAATAAAATTTTTAAAAATATAAATAAATACAAAAATTGTAGAAAACCTTGGGCACATCTCTAATAGTTAACCATATTAAAGAAAAACAAGTGTGATAAACAAGAATTGTTTTTATTGATGATAAAAATGAAATACAAAATTTAAAACTGACCCAAAAATGAATTTATTTTCCTGTTTGGTGGCAGATTCAATGGTCAAATGTGTCAGCCCTTGATGCCATAATTAAATAATAAATTGAAAAAAGATAAAAACACAAAAAATACAAACATTTTGTAGAAATCATTTGGGAACATCTCTAATATTATATATTCATCATATTAAACCAAAATAAGTTTGATAAACAAGAATTATTTTTATACACAGAAATATAAAAAAATGTAGAAAAATTTAGACGCATATTATTACTAGATTCAAGAAATCCTTGAAAAGTAAAAGTCTCATTTCCTTGCTAGATGGACACAGAGTTGGAATCTAATGCCTGTCCTGGAATCTGATCTCTTTTTAACTTGAACATGTCCAAATTATTTATTTATTTTTGAGGCAGAACATGTCCAAAAAATGGTATTTACTATTAAGGAAGTATCTTATGAATCCTAACATCATTTATACAACTATAGAAAAGGGCATAATAAATCTAGAAGTTTATATTTGTTACTTAGGAATTTCCTAAAGAAAATTAAGTAAATTAGATTTTCATTTATGTGAAATAAGCAAGGGGAAAGAGGAAAATGATATGTAGAAGTGTTCCCTCAAGAATCAATGAAGTGTTGGAATTGAATAGACATTTCATCCATTTTATAGTCCATGTAATAGTGGTGTTTCTTATGACACATTGTCTTAAGAGTATCAGTGTGAAACCCAAGGATCAAACTTTGCAATGTACCGGCCCATATTGGCAATGTATGCCACTTTAAGTTGGGTTGGGGGTTGACCTGTTTCAGGCAAGGTTCAAAATATCGATACCGGCATATCGGCCTGTATTGAAGCTGATTTCTCCTTTTTTTAGTTTTTTTTAAACCTGGTTCAGAGGGGTCGGCTTAAGGCCTGTCTACCCCCTGAACCTGGTTAAACCCCGAAACACCCCCTGTAGGGGCGTATTGGGAAGCCTCCGATACGATATGTATCAGCTGATACGGTCCAATACGTATTGAAATTTTGAACCTTGGTTTCAGGGAGCAGACATTGATCCCCCCCCTGAACAGGTTCAAAAAAAGACTAAAAATAAATAAAAGCACCCAACATACAGGCCAATACGCTGGATGAGCATATTGACCTGTATCAATATTTAGAACCTTGTCAAAAACTTGTGTTGACCTGGAGCATCATAGCATGCTATGAGAAACATTGTGCTGATTGCCAAGTTTTAGCATGGCTAGACCCATAATTGTGAGGTTCCCACTACGAAAACCTTGGTATAGATATTCTTATATGTCTTTATATGTATGCATGCACGCATGCAACTATGAAACATAGAACCAAATTTTAGCTCCAGAATTAAAATGTGAACTGTATAGTCTGTACTAAGCATGAAAACATGAATATAGCTTATACCCAACCTTCTAAAATTTTCATATTCATGACTGAAATTAACTGCATTTCCCATTTGCAAGACCAATTTATACCCAAACTTCTCCTGTATTGTATTTTCCATGTTAACATATTTGGTAACAATAATCAGTTTATAAGGGAAGGCCATTTCTCATCAGGTTACTTTTTAATATAGAGAGGTCTCCCTTGCAAGTTGGGACCATCACAAATATTGTATATCTTGCATGCATGCATGCATGGTACTTTTTGTCTACCTATAATATATTAATTAGTTGTGAGGGATAACTGACCTGCGTGCTAGTTGGGCAAAGCCATCATCTTCATCATCCTCTTCATCAAGTTGGGCCTTTGTCACAACTTTTGACATAGAAGTGACATTTCGTGTAGCATCCCTTACTTCTGATAGTTCAAAGTTGGCATCTCCTACTTCAGATAGTTTGTTGACATTATCACTTACTTCAGGTGGTTTGGTGTTGTTATCTCTTCCTTCAGATGGTCTGGATCTGGGTTCTCTTACTTCAGTTGGCAAGGGTGAGCCTGAGGCTATAGCATTGTGTTTTGCAAGAACGCTCTGTAGGTTGTCATTTAATGCAAGACCCTGACCAAGGATCTCCTCATCACTGCCAATAAAACACAAGCACAACTTTTAGAAAACTGTAAGTGTAAACCGAAATAAAATAGATCAGAGCATAATTATATTTGTAATTAGTTCAAGACAGTCCACACCCCTCAACTGCATATTACATGGTTGTACAATTTCCATTTCATCGCCACAGGAGCCTAAGAAATTCTGCATTGCAAGTGGAACCACACAAATCCACTTAATATTTGCAAAGCAAATTTACATTATGGTGATACTCCATATCTTAAGAGAGATTTTTATAGTAGCAGATCTATCTGTATAAAGTGTGTACTTCTACATTAACAATCAAAGGAAAAGTGCATTGGTTTACTTCTTTCCATATTGTAATAGAGTTTTCTCGTAATTGGAAAAACTATTTAAATTAAAAAATAGTTGAAAATGGTCTTGCAGTCGGATTCCAAAGATATGACTGTTCAAAATTCAAACCATTCACAGAGCTTGCTCAGCACACCCTTCACACCATAACACAAACATTATATGTAATATACAGTAAACTTTATAGGCAGCAGCTGCTTCATTAGCTAAGCAGGGGGTCCATACACAGAGAGATAGAAAGTCTGGCAAGGGAACTCAATGCTTCATCACTTGGATCAGAAGGACTGCAACTGGAATGGCTGATTCATTAGCTAAGCAGGGGGTCCATAGGCAGCAGCTGTTTTGGGCACAATTGGCTTTGTTGAAATGTTGGCTGTCTAAAAACTGGGTAGACTGAAAAAAAAAAATGGATAAGACTTACACAGTTGAAGTTAGCATCTGTATCAGCCTTTTCTGGTTGGAGCGGCACTGGCTGACAAGATCAACTATCACTTCATCTTTTACTGCCTAAAGACAAATGCACAATATAAGAACTTATAATTTTTTGTTAAATTACATGGTAATATGTAACACGGAGCAAATGACCATTCAAAATATAAAGATGAGTTACAAACTAACATGCATTCAAAGATTTAGTAGCCATGATTCCCTATTTTGCCATTTAACAGAAAGGAATCTGTACTTTGCCAATAGAAGCAAAGATAGCCAAATTTCATGTAATTCCAGAAAACAATAAATTGGAATTTTCTGATATACAAATCAGAAGTTACAATGCAACTTTGGCAATTTGGAAGCGAACACATGATTTTTTGTAATAAAGATTAATTTTCATTAAAAAAATAAAGGTACAGGGAAGGTGATAAGGTATCATCTGAAAGGAGAACCAGAAATAGCATACAAAAACCCCTCACGGGCTCTCAACACCTTACCACACTAAGACCAAAGTAAATCCTCAAACATTAGGGATACACACCACCAACTCCAGCATATTTGAATTTTACTCCTCTTCCATGGCATCACCAGGCTCAACAGATGGAAATATCAACAATAGCTCGATCCCTTTTCTTCAGCTCCAAGAAGGCTCTTCATGCAAAATCCTCACCTCCCAAGAAAAAAAACCCATTGTTTTACTTGAATTAGCAAATACATGCTCAACAATTAGAAAGTTTTTCATCAATCTGTTTGGTGGGAATCTCTCCTCCTTGTAATGAATATATTTACCAGTTATCAAAAAATACAATGAAAAAAGAATGCAACCTGAAAATCAACCCAAGCCAAACCTGGTCCAACATGAATAATCTTAGCTAAGAGCTACCTAGAAATGGGTCAAATTGCATCAGGTTTATCCTGGAATCTTGGTGAACTTGGGAGAGAAGTATTTCCAAATAGATCCAAGTCTCCTGAAATTGTTGTAGAATTGATCCCTGACAAAGTAGTGCATTGGATCTTGACATGAGATGAACTTGGTAATCAAAGGGTAGAAGGTGATGACAAGTCTTTCAACACTCTGATGGCCCATTTTGAAACACCATTTCTGTGGTGCATGCAAGGAGCTATTAAGTTCAATTTACAGGGACATTCCCTAAAATAAAGGAGCCTCAGGAGCTGGAGAAGGTTCCAATTTCCAAAGATAATCAACTACTTCCATGCCCTTTTCAATGTTTACATTTTACAACCCTTCTTAACATGTATGCCATATATATTCATTTTGTACATCAGCCTTTACCTTGGAAACAGCCTCTGGTAAGGCTTCATACATCTGTCCTTCCCCAGACCCCACATTGGTGGGAGCTTTACAATTCTGTTAGCAAGGTGCTAACTAAGAGAACAAGATATCCTTCTCAGAAAATCGATTATAAACTAGACCCTTAAACTCCTTATGGACATAACAAGAGCACAACTTCCTCTTAATACTCCCTTTCAGATTTGCAGTTTGAGTTTTCAAAATTCACAGCATTCCCTTCCTTCCATATGCACCACATAATGCCAATGGAATCAATCCCCACAACACCCTCCCCCTTCTGCTCAAACCATTGATCTGCCAACCCAGTAAGGGTTGAATGGATTGAGGGAAGCACTCAGTCCACCCAAAGGTATTCAGGATGGTCCCCCACACTTCTATTGCACGTTGGCAGTGCAAGAAAATGAAATTTGTAGATTCCAGCTCCTCTGTGCAAAATATACATCCCACCTGGTCCAAAATCAATCCTCTGCTTAAGAGTAAATCCCAAGTTAAGCACTTTCCTAGGGCTGTAGTCCATAACAAAAAAAAAATGGAGGCCCTGAGGACCAAATTATTTTTACTAGGAACTCACCATTTACCTCTTGGCATAGATCTTTGTAAAATGACTTGACAGTGAAAGTCCCAGTTTTCTCCCATTTCCATCTCCTTGAATCAGTTATGGTCCCGCACGTAGGATCTCGTCACGAGTTGGTCCCAGTGAGAAAGCCCTGCTTTCCCTTGCGCCTTCCCTTGCGGGCAGACCCTATTGCGGAAACTGAATGGGTGATTTGTCCAAGAGACCACCCGAACTCTCCCTTGGGGTGATTTGTCCAAGAG